AAGGCATAATTTTTAATTGCCGTGTCAGAACAGTGAGGTTCTGTAATTGTTCCCAGCTGGAGCAACAGGAGCAAAAGATTTAATGCTTCTAAAACGGAGCTCAATCTGTTCAGGAAAAGGATCATATGACGTAGCTATGATGGTGACGGATCGTCTTGATGACCCAGGAGGTCCCTGATAGTCGTACAATACCTGCACTGTAGTAATTCAGGTAACGTATTTGAGCATAAAACTGGAAGTTCAAGAGCATGGTCACAAGCACAGCTGATACAGACTGGCAGAAACATTACACTTACTTACACACAAAACCAGAGCGGGATGAGGTGGTTTACCTTCTCCCTAGAGCTACCCTTTTCCCAAGGAAGAGCAGCCCCAGTTTTCAGGTGCACCACGAAGAGCTGCATTGCAGTATGCCCCGTGATTTACAGAACCACCGACAGCCTTCAGTGCTCTGATTCCGTCACGCACATCAACTGTGTTTCCACTGTGCAACTTTGCACTACGACAGTGGCTATTTCCTGACCAGCTGGTGACCGTTTTATCTTCCCAATTTATCAACAAGTTCTTAGACAAGCTGAAGTGGTAAACACACAAAACTAGCGCCATTAGATCAGTGGAATCAATTTGAAAAGATAAAAACAATCCGTCCTTAGATGTTTGCTTCTCTACACTAAATGCATCTCTTAATATTGAACTTCAAAGCTCAGACAGAAGAGAAACCAAGTAGTTTGGAGCCTGTTTAAAGTTTACCACAGCACTCAGTGAAGTTAAGGACAAGAAAAATAGGGCTCTTCTAGCGTTTCTGTACTGCATCACCCCTCTCCCCCTGCCCTGCAAAAAAAGACTGACAACACGTCTTTTGATGTTTTGAATTCTTCGTGGCTTTTTATAGCAACATAATGCCAGCGCAGCTTATTTTTGGTTTTGATTTATCATAAAACCCAAAAGAGTTTGGTATAAGAAATTTCAATAAAAGCTTTAACTTCTCACCAGCAGTTTCAAACTCCGAATTAACATGGAGATAACTGTAAAGTGATTGTACTGAAATCTCCTGCCTTTAAGTCACAGCAACAATTAACACCAGAATTATTCCTGGACTTTTTTTTTTTTTTTTTAAGAGAAAATTACAGCAAAATATCTGGTTATTGTAACCAGAAGAAGCTGCAGCTGAAAACAAGGAGATACCACGGAGTGTTCAGTCGCATTACTGAACAGCTCGAGACACAGGAGCAAAAGCACACACTGAGAACAGAAGTAACTTAATAGAAGTGCATGAAAGCATATGAAGAAGTTTTTCTCCAATTACTTAGCTGGGACCCCAGTACAGTAGAACTTCTCTTACCTTTCTCAAAATAAAATGGCTTTTAAAACACTTTCGAGAAAAGGACAGAGGATCTAGGTAACAGAAACGGAGTAATCCAAGACTATTCACACATTGAGTTTATTTAACATTTGGACTAAAACCAAGTCTCGACCAAAATCAACAGCAAAACTGCCGTTGCTTTTAAGGGAGTAGCGACTAGTAGTCCATTTATTTCATAATTCCACTTATATCTATGTCTAAGCATATTAGCATACTTATGCAAATTAATGCAAAGATCAAGAAGGAAAAGAAAGCTAAAAGAAAGGGTTAGCATATAGTACTGTACTTTTCTCAAAACGTAGCTGTTAGTACATGACATCGTATTTTAAGTTAGTGCAGAAATATTGTTATTTATTGCAGAAATAGTTATTTGTGTTCTTGTTTCCCAATTATAATTTTCATGTAACAAAAAAAATCTCAATTATGAGATAAGGTTTGAATGAGTTAAAGGAGGGATAAATGCAAACACAGTAACAGAACTATCTGCATCAGTGTCGTGGTTTAACCTCAGTCGGCAACTGAGCACCACGCAGCCGCTCGCTCACTCGCCCCGACCCGGTGGGATGGGGGAGAGAATTGGAAGAGCACAAGTTAGAAAAACTCGTGGGTTGAGATAAAAACAGTTTAATAATTGAAATAAAATGATAATAATAATATGATAATAATAATAATAATACACAAAGCAAGTGATGCACAGTACA